CCTTTTAAATCCTGTCCATTTTTTCCTGTAATTTTACCTTATTGGATAAAGTGAGGAAGCCTCGCCCCCACACACACTCCCCTCCCTCTCATTGGTTGCAGTCCAGAGGCCACCCCCCCTGCGTGACCAACCACCACCTCTCAAAAACCAGAACAGTCCGCTGGGTCGGTCCCTCCCTCCCGCTTTTATTCTGAAAGGTCGCTCGTCCTTTATGCTTTTATTCTGAAAGGTCGCTCGTCCTTTATGCTTTTATTCTGAAAGGTCAGCCACAGTCCAGCTGAAAGCCAAACCCTGAATGAACTTCCTGTAACGAAAGAGTAATTATAACAACAGGAAGTGAAACCTCGTTACTTACTACTTCATTTCAAGCGTCTTTGAGCTCTCGGGAGAGCGCTTTGAAAAATGTTATTATTATTATTATTGATTAACCTGGTGCTCTGCTAGCTGTTAACCATCACCTCCCAACTGAGGGTCTACTTCCTGCCTGACTCTTTAAGAGGCGTCACTCCGGTGGAAAACTCCAACTGGAAAAACAACAACAACCAGCTAGCCGCAATGCTAACTAGCCTCGATGCTAGCTAGCCGGAGGCTAACGGGCGTCTCCGTGGTCCAGGTGGCGCCGTGGTGGCAGCAGCAGAAGAAGAACAGGAAGCAGGGGGAGGAGCTCTGTGAGCAGCTCTGTGATTGGCTAACCTTCCCGGTTCGCGCTGTGGCGGACGACCTCGCGGGCGCGGCTCCGACGGCGTCTGGCGCTTGTGACGAACTCTACGAGCGACCTGGTGCACGTCCACGCTCTCGTCCAATGGGAAGAGAGCACAGAGCTGAGCGCCGACTTCTGGTTGGATCTCCTGGAAGAGAAACGAGAACAGAGAATTCACGGTTAACGAGAGCACCCGATTTGATTTATTTCAAACGTGTAAAACAATAATACAAAAATAATAATAATGAAATGAAACTTGATAATGATGATACTGGACAAACTAAAGCGGCGTCAGAATGATAGACATATTATTGACTTACAAATTATATATTAACAAATGGCCTGATTACACATCCGAAAGGGGAAGAAGTTTACACTCAGTTAACCCCTTCTCTCAAAACTAAATCATTGTTCTGTAACGTTAAGATAATACGCCTCACCTGTCCGTCTCGTCCGATCTTCACGGGCTTCTGCTCGTTCCAGGGGTTGGACAGGTGGGCTGTCTTCGTGAAGGGAAGCTCCCTCCTGAGAAACACAATCACATGTTCAGATATCAGAGAAACTCAGGACAGTAAATCCATGAACTCATCAAACCTCATCACTGTTAGCGTACCTTCTCTCTAATACCTGGTCTATATTCCATTGAACTCTTCTGGATTCACAAATACTCACATCATCAAGATCAAAGCTCCAAAGGTGTTATCATCAGATGCTCAGCAGCTTCAGTGGAGAGATGGCAATGAAATTCTCCTGACCTGAGCTCCTCCAACAATGCACCATATATAA